AGACCTCTCTGTCCCTCACAGCCTTTCCAGAGAGAAAAAAGGACAATAGGTAAGCAGACATTTCTCAAAGGGAAAGTGACGAAAAATGAGTTAAGATATCTCTAGCTTTGAGGTTTTTGAGGTGCTTAGGGTTGTGGGTTATGTTCTCCTTTCCGCTTTGTCTAAAATTGAAAAGTTGTGTTTATCCAGAAGAGCTGAGATATCTTTCAATTCTTTATCTGGATCCAAGCAAGGTGGATTTAATGTGTGGCTCCCCTTTTGTGTTTCAGTGCAAAATTGCCCCAGGTTGTGGTCCAGCTGGCCAATCTTCATGTTTTTTAGTGATGTTTGTATAGCTTTCTTTGAGCAACAGGCTGAAACTGAACAGGAGAATGACTGATATAAATTGATCTCTGTTACTTTCTGTATTTGATTTAAAAAAAAAGGCCTTTAGGAAAGAAAGTTTGCATAACTCACTCACTACAGTTTTTGTTGCCAAAAGCATTTAAATGGCTTCCCATACCAGAGCAGTTTTATTATCTCAAACTGCTGGTATTTATTATTCATTAAGAAAGGTTGGTATAGACTCGTTTATTGTTTTCTTGGTTTTCTCCACGTTTCTTAGTTAGACCTGCTGATCAACCTCCTGCCCATTGAAATTGGCAAGTCTGAAACTCTTACCTGTAAGCTCGTCATAAAAATTAAGTATTAAATTGACTTGCATCAAAATTAGTTTGTATTAAAAGAAGCATCCTCCACTGAGAAGTTTTATCTCTTTGTGGAGATCTCCAAACTGTTTAAAACATGCACTCAACTTCACACATTCCTCATTGACCAGGTTTGTTTATAAAAGCTACTAGAGGCGGAAGATTGGTTATAAAAATGGATCTCACAAATATCTTGAAGAGTTATTGAATGCTGTGAGGTGCATTTCTGTCTCTGATGTCAAACATCAAAGAAGCTATCAGTAATAGTTATCACTAAAGCTGCCCTTGCATGCAGAATGCTGGTAATAGGTTGGATATTGTTGTTAGAAAAAGATACTGTCATGAAAAGCAAAAGAATGTAATATTATTTTGTAAGGTTAAAGAGTATGGTGAAGGTATTTTTAGAAATATGCAAACTCTCAGATGGATTGGGGTTACTCTAGTGAGTTGGATTGAGACGTTTTATGAACACAACAGTGAAACACAAATTTTTAATTGATGAACTGAGACAAAGGAGTAGGGAAAAAGTGAAACATTTACTTTAATAAAGCGAAAAAGAATTTATACATGGATGAGGAAAAAGAAACTGTGACACTCTTATAACAGTATAAAATGGGTATTGGGAATGGACTTTGGTAACATACCTTAGTAATGTTATGCATTGACTTAAAATTTTGGTTATATTTTTTGTGTTCTACACCACAACAACACTTGCAATGGATATGACCATTATTTCACCTCTTTTACTGAAGTTTTGGTGTTTTATCACATTGTGTTACACAGCCGCAGTTGTGCAATGTGTCAATCCTTGTACCAGGTTGGTTTCATCTGTGTTTTCCTGTGCCTGAGACTCTCCATCAGTAGGATTTGTCATAGAGATGATTATTTTTTTTATCTTAGAAAGCTGAAAATCGACATGTCTGAAAGGAAGTATTTTTTTTCTTCTAGAGGGGTGGTGTCTTCTCCATAAACATAGATGCCTTTCTTAAAGAAATCACTGACAACCTTTGGAAAGGTAGTTGCATGAAGTTGGTTGGTGTTCTTTCTAAGGGTGAAACCAATATTCATTTTAATACAACGGTGGTGTTGCACATCTGTTACTGTATAATCTAACCAACAGAAAAACTCTGCAATCCTACAAACTCAGCTACTTTATACAATAAAGAATGATATTCTTAACAAAGAGAAACTCCTATAAATACCACATAATGTGTTCCGGAACATTTCAAAAGAACCAGTGTAGAAGTATTACATAATAACTGCATGACTTGATTAAATGTTGAAGAAAGTTCTTTGGTACACATATCAGCATGACTAAGCAGTCTGGAGATTTCTAGAAGCTTATATTAACAACAACAATTACTTATAACACAACAGCTTGAGAACCTGTGGAGTCGTATGATAATAGTGATTTTATTTCACTTTTTCCTCTCCAAAAGAGATGGTACATAATGTAAACAAAAAACTCAATACCTCTCTCAAACATAAGTACATTTTATAGGTCACTCCGATCTGCCTTTGGATCTAGAAATACTAAAAAATAGGCAGTCAATGACAGCATATATCTAGGAGATTATATATAGTTCATAGACTTGTGTAGGCTAATTCTTAATCAAAGACTAGTTTCTTGTATAGGGGGAGCAGATATGATAAAATGGAATAACCCACTTGTAACCAGGAGCAATTAATCATATAATATATTATGTTAACTAAATAGCAACTCCACAACTGTTCAGGAAAGCTGAATTGTAACTTTAATACTTAATTTCAAACAGCAACATAGCAACTTTTAAATTGTATTTCAAACACAGCAACTTTAACATTGCATTTCAAACTTATACCATGTTCACACCATCAAAATATGTCTAATTAAACAGAGTTTAATGAAACCATGTTTAATTAAACATGGTTAACTGATCAACCTGCTCACAGCAAACAACAAGAGCTGACAACAATGCAGCGTCATGTTCATGCTCAGCCTCGCACTCATGTAAGTGTAATGGATATGAAATGTTACAACATCATACAGCCACAACATGTAAAATGTAAGCAAAATGGTGGATGGGCGAAATATTGTGCTTTTGTGTTGGAAAACACAGAGAGAAGAAAGCCGAAAAAATGCGGAAAGTTGTCCAAAGCTTGCCAGGAGACAACTCTACAGATACTTCCACAGCAGATGTCTTGTATCATATGTATTGTTGTTGACGCACTAGCTATTTCAATGAGCCCCAAGCTTACCCCGAGTTTGGAGTGAAAGCAGGTCTCCATCCCCAAGTAGTTGCCGCTCTTGATGGTTGCCATGTGCCTGTCATTGCACCTCTCCAAAGTCCGGAAGATTATGTGAATTGAAAAGGATTCTAGGCAGTAACATTGCAGGGATTGGTTGACTGCAACTATCGTTTTGTTGACGGTTTTGTTGGATGGCCGGCAAAAGTTCACAACGCACGCTTATTTAAAAATTTACCACTGTTTTCCCACTGCTGTGGGAGGACTTTCCTACCACTTCAATTATCTTGAGTCATATCAGGTGTGAGAGTTCCACCCTTGATAGTTGGAGACTCCACATACAGTATGGTCATGCAAGTTTAATTAAAGAAAGATTTTAGCTATTATATGTACTATGTGAATCAAAAAATCATGAACACTTCAATATTTTTTGACTTTGACATTTTAATTGTGTATTTACCAATCACATGTGAGATAAAACCACAAAAAAATGCAAGCTATATAGTTTGAGCAATAAGTAACAGCAAATTAATTAACAATATAATTCAGATGCCATGAAATTAACTATAAGAAATATAATTTAAAGGAATGAAAGTTTCAAAATTGCTCATAAGCTAGTCTAATTTTTTTTTAACAGCTTGCACAAAATGTCAATACCGAAATGGAAACTGATGCAGGTACTTACTTGGTTTTACTTGTGAAGAACCTGGGCCAGTTTCAGGAGAAATTCTTGATCCTACTTTCTTTGTTTCTCTGCTCTTTCCTCCTCTTGCCTCTCTCTTGCTGCTTCAGGTTCAAGGAAGCTCTTGTCAGCACTTGCTGATACTCCGCAAAGGACTCGAACACTTTATCAAACTTTGCAAATACATCAGAAGTGGTTTTCCTCTTTTTATCTGCCTTTAAGACGAGCAGCTAACGGGGTACTGACTTCTTTGTTTCATCGGATTCCGTTGCACCTGAAGGAACAACATGGCAACCGCCAAAACTTCAATCGGTTGCATAAACATTATAGCCAAGAGAGAATTTCAAGATTCTCACAGTTTGCACATTTGACGATGTTAAATATGTCAATACAAACAAAGAAACAACAATAACAGAAATTGATGACATTCAAAACATAAACATTGATAGTGTAGAATTAGAACATAACATTGTTAAAGGACAGTGTACTGGAAGTGATGTAAAAAGGAAGACATGCTGCACTTTAAGCAACAAAAATCTACCTATAGAGCAAGATGAAGAATACATTAACCGATACATTAACCTGTACTAATAAACAATGCAATATGACTACATTAACATCCATGTTAAATGATGACTATAGCTCATCTTAACCACAGAAATAACATCTAGAGTGTTTTTTAGACATAGAGGATAATGAAAATCAATTGCAAACAACATGCAGTGATTCTGTGAAAGAATTCACTGAACAGGAGGTGTGCTCACTCTCTCATACATTGCCAAACAAAAATTAAATGACTTTGCCTCTGTTGACCTTTTGGATCTCTTGAAGCTACTTGTCCTAGAGGATAACAATCTGCATTCTTTGACCTGAACTCAAATTACTTGGTAACTGTGTCACAAACATCTATGATTATTCTGGGAAGAGTTTTTCCATCTTTACAAAAGATGACAACTTTTACCAATGTAGCACAATTGATTTGGAAGGAAAACAATGCACGGGATTACACTACACCAGCTAAGAAGCAGAGAAACCTATATTTTGTTACAGTTTCTATAGAACAACAGTTAGGCAAACCCCTGGAAGGTAATGGTATTTGAACAAAAAAACCAGCTGTACAAAAAATTACCAAGTTGTTCAATTATAAGAGACATTGTCGATGGAATTGAATATAAGAAATTCAAGCAAAATGGAGGATTTCTTACCAATGAAGATCACTTAACTTTGCTTTTCAACACAGATGGCATTCCCTTGTACAAGTCTTCAAAGGTCAATATAGGGCCAGTTTTTCTTGCTATTAATGAACTTCCCCTAGAAGAACAATTTGCAAAAAAATATAATTCTCTGGGGACGCTGGCAAGAGAAGGGAATGCCAAGATTTTCAACATTCTTCGAAGTGTTTACTGATGACAGTTTACACAACCAAGCAAGGGAAAGGACATGTGCAGTGCTATCCTTTTCAAGACCCACCAGTTACTTTGCGCACCAGTGACAGTATTCTAGAGAATGTCCTGTCTGCAGTGAAAAATAATACAAGAGTGAAAGGATTTTATGATGTTACCCCACTGGTAAAGTTCCTTTGGTTTGACCTCGTGCTTGGTATAGTCCTTGACTACATGCATGGTGTGTTACTCAGAGTAACCAAACAATTCCTGAACCTCTGGTTGCCCCCATCAAGATATAAAAAGCCTTGGTTTATCGGTAACAAAACAAAAGCCATTGATAAAAGACTAAAGTACATGGAGCCTCCTAATTTTATTCAGACTTCCAAGAGAACTGGAGACAAGTTGTGCCTATTTTAAGGCTTCAGAACTTCAAGCATGGCTGCTCTATTAGTCGGTACCGTGCCTAATTGACATCTTACCGCAGAGGTACCCTGAACATTTTGCTTGTTTGGTTGAAGGTGTCCATATATTGCTTGGTGATGACATAACACCAGACTTGCTAGCTTTGGCTAAAGATCTTTTATTTTTATTTCACCAACTTCTTTATGGAGATGGCAAACAAAGAGAAAATTCTTCTCTCCTTCCAGTCAATAAATGGAACTATTCGATTGTTGATTGCCACGATTGTCTTTGGAATGGGGGTAGATTGTAAGGGTGTGCATAGTCATTCACTATGGACCTGCCAAAAATGTGGAATCTTATATTCAGGAAACTGGAAGAGCAGGCAGGGATGGTACTCAAAGTTGTGTGTACATTTTGTACCATGGAATCCTTCTAGCCCATGTTGGTGGCTATATGAAACAATATGTAAAAACAAATCATTGAAGTTCTGCATCTGTGCTGTGATAACTGTGCTGCAGATTATGAATGTGGTTTGTCTGATTGTGGAGCTTTAGCATTTTATCCTTGTTCTCAAGAGAAAGTAAACAATGGTGCATCAATTAGAAAAAGGCAAGTGGATACAGAGCAGAGGAAAACTGTTGTGGGTCTCCTGGTTTAATACTGCAAGACCATACTTATCAAACTGTTAAACGCAACAGCTCGTGGAGATGTGAGGACACTCACAAATTTACAATTTATGCTTGGATTCTCCCAGCACCAAATCACCCAAGTTTTGGATAATCTGGATGTAATTTTTAGTTTATCAGAGGTTTATAGATTTGTGGAGATAAAGGATATGTGTCGTGCACAGGAGATTCTGAGATGTGGCTACAGGAATGTAGTCATCTGAGCCTTCTCCTTTAGAGGAGAATGGCTATGATTTTGACAAGGAGTTTCTTGATGAGTGGAATGAATTTCTCCAAGACAATGACTTATTTGAGATGATTGTAAATAATTTGTCTTTTTCCCAAAGAGACAATTCTTTGCTAGAGAGAGAACCTGTTTGTAATTTCCAATTAATAGAACTTCCTACAGCTGTACTAGCAACTGTTGAGGGCATGAATTTGGATGATGTAGTATAAAGAAACTGCGACTGAACATTTTGTACCATGTAATACTTGTAGCCCATGTTGATGTAAAGAATCTGAGGCAAAGATGAATTAACAGGTGCTGGGAAATATTGTTTATTTTGCTTTCAAAAGCGACAAGTAAATAAATTCGGAAGAATGTTATAAGAGGTACTATAGAAGCAAAAACTAAAGAGCTTTTAATACAACGTACAATGGCAGGTGCAGATCTAGGATAAATACTGACTGGTTTCCTAAATGAACGCTGAAGGCTCCTCAAGGCAAGGTTTTGGATTTTTAACTCCTTTAATTCCCCTCCTGGATTTCCAAATCATTCAGATGGGATATTGGCCAGATTTCAACTTGGAAAGTTTTTTTAGTAAAAGTATATTTGTGATGAAAAATGGAAGGAAGCCAGTGTGGATCCACGCCTGAATGGCCAAGAAATAATAAGTAACTGTTCAAATAAAACGAAATGTGGAACTACATGTCGTACATGTATTGCTATACAGTGTAACCTCTTCAGTTTTTTGTTTAACAATTTTCCGTGGGTGCACAAAAGGGTTATTAAAAATTATTTTAATTTAATTTTGAGAGGTACAAAGGTTCAATAATCAAGATAAAACTTAATTAATAATGTTGACTCCAATAACAACGCCATTGGTTATGATAATTGCAAGTTTATTATTATGTACTATTATTAAACCATGATAGTTATTTCAATCTGTGCCCAGTTGCAAGATTAATTGATGATAAAATATAGTTTGAAAACAAGGTCTGAACCGTTGCAGATCATCATGACAATCCAAATCAGGGTTGCTAGTAAGATTTCAAGTTACTAGGTATATGTAGTCAGTAGTTGGGAAACTGAACAGCCAGGGAGTCCTTTTGGTCTTATTTTCCTTTTGTTTCCTACGAAAAATAACCAATGATTATGCTTATAGTAACAGGAGGAAATCCCCAGCCCCTGGCAATTAGTGACAGCCCTGAAAACTAGTCTGTTTGTGTTATAAGGGACATTAAATCTAAATCTTATCCCTCTTATTTCAATTTCTCATTTCTGAGACAGTCTGGAATGTCTTTTTTTTATCTTATCAGAAGGGTGAAGGAACTGAGGGTTCAACAAATTAGATTCTATTGTACAATGCTACAACAACATTATCATTAACAAGGAAGAGGTTATGGTTATGAGATGTTCCATTTTTTGTCTGTATGACTGTACTACTGTTAAGTATGATAAACGTGTTATATTGCAAAAGGGAGTTTGGATTTTTCCTTCAAAGAATCCTACAAAATTTATTCCCAGAGACAGTATATTCAAAGGTGTTGAAACTAGAAACGTCCAAATTGGCAAGTCTGTCTCTCTGGAAGCTGTTAAGTATTTTGTAACTCCGTCCCTTGACCTTACTGAATATTTTAAATTCAAATTTTCTTTTGATGAGCTTATTTAAGTCCCTTTCCAGATTTCCATGGGAGTGTTTGCCTGATGGCAACTGTCATTTGATGCTATTAACAAGGTTGCTCAGTATTGATGCTGTTGGACGTCGTGCAAAATATATTACAGCATTCTCAGTGACATTAGGCCCAATATTTCTAATGCCTTGCTTTATGGCATTGCTCTCATGTTCTGTGTCTTCATCAATTGGGATATTAGCAGCTTTTTTACCACTGTTGTTTGCAGAGCGGTTCCATACAAACTGCTCACTGTCTCTGCGATAACAGTGCAAACACGAAGAAAAACTGAGTTAAACATTCTAGTGCGTACTTGGTGCTATGTGAGCCATTGGCCTTACAATAAAGCATAATGTACTTGTATTGCTGCATAATTCGTTCTCCATCCCCTTCTTTAATAGCGTTAAGAAAATTAAAAAATAAAAAGCAATCTGCCAGAAGTGCACAGTTATAGTTGTATACATCATCACCTGCTTTTGTCTCTTTTTGAGGGGCTGTGCATTCAGGTGAAGATTGGGTCATTATCATGGAATCCTTAAACTGAACACGTGGATGATGGAACAGTTCATTGTTCCTTCTGGTTTTGCCATTGTACTTGAATGACTTGTTGCATCCAGGGAATCTGCTGGGAAATCTCCCCTTAGCAGCAAGTTCTTGCTGCTGCAAAATGTCTATCTCTTCTTCAGTTTTTAGTTTTTGCACTTGTTCTTCTGACTGGAAAATGAAAGAATCAACCTCCTTTTCAGAGATGCCATGGAGGTACTCAAGTTTTTGGGCTTTTCTCAATTTCTCCATGTCTTCTGGCAGGGGGTAGTGTTCTGGGGCACTTGATTTGTCAGCAAATCCCAACACTGTCATGCAGCTGTGGTAACATTGGTGGTTAATTTGCTCTGAAAGAAGAATGAGGATCACCTGTTACATTCCTCCTGTTGATAAAGGTGCCGAGATCTGAATCTGCATGTGCATGTGTTTTCAACATATGAAACTGGTATTATGACTACTTCAAAAGACTTTACTACATGCCATATAGGTACAGGCAGGTGTTGTAAAAAAAGTTTCCTTAGCTTTTTCATTAGTACGCATTTCTTTTTCTAAGAACCTTGTTTAAATAGCCTGTGCTGAATTCCAATTTTTCAACCAAATTTTATTATTTTTTTAATATTATTAGATCTCCTAGTATCAGTTAATATTCTTGTAATTAAAATAATTACATCGAATCTTGCAGATGTATGGCAGATTATTTTTTCTCTGAACCTCCTAACATTTTATCATTTGAAGGGACTGGTATTGGCTATAAAAGTATAGTCAAATTAAAGGGTTTTGCACAACCTATGCATCGAGTTTTTTTTATAAAATATTGTATCCTTCTCAAAACTAGTTTATCAGAATAAGAATGAGTTACCAGGAACAAGTATGGCTTTCATGATGATAGTTTCCAGATTTGATGTGAGGAAAGAAACAAAAGAAAGCAAACAAACAAAAACAATGAAAAAATCTAAATGCTTGGTTTGATGCTACAATCTTTTCAGCTGCAAGTAGTGGTTCTGCAATTAAAAAAAAGTAGTTACAGTCAATATGCTTAAAATGTAGTTTTACTTTTTCCATGTATCTTTCTTTTTGAGTTAATAAAATTTTAAGGCCCCCTGTAGTCATTCGCTGAGGTTTTGATTGAGGACTGAACTGATGAGTCCACATTTACTACAACTGCTAATAGTGCTAATTTGAATTGACCTCTAATTCAGCTCACTTAAACCACCAGAAATAATAAAAAAAAAAACCTTATAGTGATCCAGCCTCCTGAAGATTTGACAAATAGACGTCAGGATACTATTATGTTGCCGTGAGAGGGATTTTCTTCCCCCCACTCCCCTCTCGGAATAGCTCTTATCGGAGTTGAGCACGCCACCCAAACAATCCAGCAGTATTCTTGTGAGTAAACATCAAAGTGAGGCTATCGGGTCAACATCGATCAGATTTGTGTGAGAAAGTGAGGAAAACTTATGGAGTGTTCCACAAATCTTCCACAAGCGGCCTTTTTTTCCGCTGAGGAGAAAGTGCAGTTGATAAGTGGTAATTGCCCACGGCATATTACTAAAGAAAGACTCAAAGAATGGTTGTCATTCCGCAAAGGGACGGCTAAAGATGGTAGTGCATGGTCTGAGGCAACGAAGGCTGAGTTATCTCAAAAGTACACAGATTGCAATATTTTTTGTCTCTTATAATTATTGCCATTGCTTGAAGGGAATATCGAAGCATAAGTTCTATATCGATTTGTTTTACCTGCCGTAGAGTCATCAGTTATATAAAAAATGGTTGGGAGAATAATTTTACGGAGAAGTGGCAACACTTGGCAGCAAGTAAACCACTGGAGCAAACGGCGACCGTCAATTGTGATTTCCCTGGACCTGCACAATGGGTTTCGCTGGTTGACGCGAAGGACGATGTCCCTTCATTTAATATTCAGAATATAGTGTCTTACTCTATTGAAAGAATAGCTAAAGACAATGAATCCAACAAAGATTTCAAGAATGTCAGCAGCAAAGCTTTCGGTTTGTTTCGACATGGTCATATCCAAAAACTGGAAATCGCACGGGACGACGACGACGACGACGACAAGGTACACTTGTGATTGCTTACCTGAAATGAAGAAAAACTTGAAGTATAACATACAACTGTCACTGTGTAATAACGGTGAACAGGAAGGTAAAATCACGTTTGCTAGCTGTGCTTGCCCAGCTGGTAAGGGTCCATGTGGCTCTTGTAAACACATAGCTGCTCTTTGTTATGCTCTTAAAGAATTTGTGAGACTTAAGTGCACACGGGAATAGGGTCCTTTCGACATTCTCGGACGCGTGTTCCTGAGAACTAGAAACCAACATGTGAACGAGGCTTAGAGGACAAAATGGATGCCAGCTCTGGTGCGGGCATCTTCAGCACTAAACCAGTTCCTTGGTTAAAAGAATATTTAAAACAAAGAGGCATTCAAAGCTCGGGAGAATGAACTAGTAGAACTTTGTGTAAAAAGTGAGGAGATAAAAGTCCCGAAAATCTCATAAGAAGAAGAGCCAGTCGATCCAGCAATTTCAATGAAAGAGCAACTGAAAACTAACAATGACGGGTACTTGGCCAATCCGTTGAACAAAGAAAATCAGGCTTTTGGTAAATGGACCCACAATTTTTCGGAAGTACCAGACTTTAGATTTCCTGATCTTTTTAATTATCTAGTGGGAAAGGATCCCGGGTATAACGCCGAAAGCCTAAAAAGTTACAAATCTCTTCTGGGATACAAGTTGTACTTCGATGGACACGTAGAAGACCTTTGTTACCATCCGCCACAATCTAGTGCCAGCAGTTACAGTTATTTTCTGTTTGCTGTAAAGCCAACTGAAAGGTCCAAGGCTGACGATGGGTCAGCAACATATAAGGGTTTTTTTATTTTAAAGAAGGATGGAAGTGTGCATTCAGCCTACTGCCCATGCAAAGGAGGGTACATGTATGTATTTTCATTTACTCTTACTATAAGGTAAGTAGCCTTAAGATGTACAATGAGCTAGAGTCATTTGAAATATATACGAGCTAAAAGTCTAAAATGAGAGATGTATGTTTACCTGTTATGATCAGCTGATGAATTGTTGGACTATTTTTAATGTTAATGTAAACAACATACAGATATGCTATATATGAAAGACATTAATTTAAAAAAAACCCAGCTAACTAAATGAATAAATAAAAAATGAAACTTGTGTGATAATATATCACTACTAACTTTCAAAGAAAAAAAAAATTAAGCTATTGGCTACATTTCAGTGTACCAAATGTTTCACTCTGCTATAAGATTAATATACAGAAAAAACAAGCAGATGACTGAAAATCACTTGCTTTTTTGATCATTTTATTTGTGTGAGGACAATGTTTAATAAATATCAGTCATCTTGGTCTCTATTTGATAGGGCAGATGGAGGTTGTCGCCACATAGCTGCAGCACTGTTTGATCTGGAAGCAAGCATACGATTCAATGATCTCCAGTCATGTACATCAAGATAATGCATGTGGAAAAAGAAAGGAAAGAGAAATGAGGGAAGTTTGCCTATTCAGGAGCTACAAACAAATAGTGGTGGCTATGGTGTGACAGTAAAAGACTCTGCAAAGCCAAGAGATTTTAATCCACTTTGTATTCCTTATGACCCAGCTGAATTAGAACAACAGTTCAAAGCTGGGTTGCTGGAAACATTCCCAGGTTCTTCAGCTCTTCCTTTCTTACATTCAGCTGAAGAACCAGGGCAAACAGAGGAAGAAATCAGGGCTTTGATAAGTGATGATTTAAATGTCAGTAAACAAGAAAGTGTTCAAAGTGTTGATGTTTATTCAATGAGTGATTACGCTAAAGTGTTTGTTTCTGTTAATATTGAAAAAGTGACACCTACAGTCTCTACAGAACTTGCAACTGAGTTCCTTGAGTCTATTTCATTTAATGAAGAGCAAGCAGAAATGATCAACAAAAAGACTGTCAATCAATCCCAGTCCCAATTTTGGTTTGATCAAAGGGCAGGAAGAATTACAGCTTCCTCATTTTACACCATGTGCCACCTCAGAGAGAGCACAGACAAGAGAAACACTGTGAAGCATCTTATGAATTACTGTCCAATTGCTGAAGATGCAATGCCAAAACAGTTAACATGGGGTCATGAAAAGGAAAAGAAAGCACTTGATCTCTACATTAAAAAACAAAAGAGAAACCATGAGAAGTTGTCAATAAAAAACAGTGGACTAATAGTAAACACACTATGGCCCTGCTTGGGAGCCAGTCCTGATGGTGTCAGGATTTGTGAGTGCTGTCAGAAGAAGTTAATTGAAATTAAGAGCATGTATGCAAAAAGAAATCTCCCTCCACAGGTTGCAGCTGAGGAGAAGCTCGTGTTTGTTGGTGACAAATATATACTAAAAAAAGAAACAAAATGGAACTATCAAATTCAGGGTCTGATGGGAATAACAGGGATTCATTGCTGTGATCTAGTTATTTATACCTTCAAAGGAATATTGATTGTCGATGTCAAGTTTGACAGTGAGTTGTGGAACGAAATGCTTGAGAAGCTGAGAAACTTTTTCTTAAAGTACATAGTTCAGGAACTCTTTCACCATGACATACTTAAATCATTATAAGGGACTATCATTGGTGGTGAATGCTGATGCTCAATGCTGGATAATTCCTCAGTGGGTCTAAAGAAGATTTTTGATATGTGTTATTAACCATTAACATAAACTGACTGGTAATTGTTCAAAGTTACAAACTTATTGTGCTTCTCAGCTCACAAGGCAGCAGTAGTTATTTAGCCAGGGGTGGTAGCAAATTGCACAGAGCAGCACACACACTAAAAATGTTGTCAGCAATGGGCAGCATTGGAACAAGAAAGTTCCCTTGTAGAATTCTAAAGTCCTTAAGTCGTCCAATGGCACGTTCTACATGGATCCGAACACTGGCAATGGCACGGGTAGATTTTACTGCCTTCTTAGACAGTTGCTTTCCTGAGTAAAAAAAGAGATTTCAAATTAAGTAAATGCCAGCTTGAGAAGCTACTGATAGAGAAGTACTTGCTGTTTTTCAGTCAAAGCTGTTTATGTTAAATATCAAAGCACCTAGAAAAGAGATCACATATGATGGGAACTGCAGCCTTTATAAACATATTTGTGAGATTGAGTTAAAGTAATGGTTACATGTATCTCCCTGATGAGCAGCTTGCCTTAACCATTAATAAAAATACTGATAAGAATTTGTACCTGTTAAGTAACTTCAACTTCATTGTTACTACCAATTAGATATAGGTATGTTGCTATATCAGATTTTTTACCAGCCTAAGGAGACCATCTGTTTGCTTTTTCCATACCTTCTCTCATTCCTTCCCTCTGAAACTCCCTTTATCTAACTTAACCACTAAATTTTAAAGGGTGAGTTACCTTTGCAAAGTGGTGGGATATTAAGTGCTACTTTCTTTCTTGTAAGCAGATCCCTGATGTTGAAGCCTTTGTCTGCCATAACACAATCCCCCTCTTCAAGTTTGTCCAATAGACCACTTTTTTCAGTAATATATCTATCGCTGACATTTCCAGTCCATAGTTTAGAAACAAAGGTGAAATAACCTGTAGGTGAGATTCCCACTAGTGCTTTCATTGTGTTGTGCTGTTTATAGTTACTCCAGGTGGCCCTCTGGGCACTAGGGGATGTTGGCTTTTGTAAATATATCTCAGTACAGTCTATTATTATTCTTGTGCTAGGAAACTTACAAAAAGACCGTGGTAAAGTTTTCTTAATGTCTTCCTTACAAGGCCATTTAAGGAGAATGTCACGAAAAACTGTAGACAGAAAACAAACCCAAGTTGTAAAGACTTTGCTAACTGTTCCCTCTGATACTCCAAATATATCTGAAATATGTCTGCTTAAAAGCCCAAGTCTGAGTCTCACCAAAGTTAAGATGAACTCTTCCATAATGGTCAATAATCTTTGCTTTCCAGGCTTTTTTTTGCTTGAATCTTTTTGATACGTAACTTCCTTCTCTTTGTTTTTGTCCCAGTACTTAAGTTTTTCTGCAAAGGGCTTTAACAAATTAAATATCATTGTTAAGCAAGCCAGGCTAGGTATCCCTGTGTAAAATTTGACTGGCTCGTCATCTTTTAAAACATCATCCACAAATAGCTCTCTTTTCAGCTGCTTGCTGTTTGTCAACTTTGCCTTAAGATTTGCGTTTTCCTCCTTCAAAGTATTAATTTCACTGTTTAAAACCTGTAAATCTTCAAAAGGAAATTCTGTTTGAGTTCCCTTGTCATTGTTTAGAAGACACTGACAATAATTGTGATCCAAAAGAACTGCCTCGTTGCTTGTTGCGACCCAGGTATCTTTGCCTTCCTTTGTAACCGTCCTACTCTTTTTAGGTTTAGGACATTGCTCATGAGATGTTCGTTTCTTCCTATCATCCAGTCTTTTTTCACGAGAAGAAACAGGACCCTCGTTTGTTGAGGGATTAAAATACTTCGGCAATTCACCTGGAATAATTTCTCTTCTCCCGCCAAGGGAATTTTTGATGGAGGAAGCCTCGAAATGTGCACTGCAAATCCGAGGGTTTTTTTGAGCTCGGAATTTGGGATCATTTTGTCGACAAAAGTTCTTCCAAAGCCTTCTAGAATTCTGTTCGGAAGGGAAGCAGAAAAAGGAAAGATCCGGACGATTCCTAGAACTGTTCAAGCAGTTCGCTACAGAACAAAAATTCACCATAACTTTGGAAAAATAATGGTAACTTACACATTACATACAGTGCACCGGTTTCTGTTTTTAATTTTCCCCGCGCGCGGTCCTCTAAGCCTCGTTTGCATGTTCATTTCTAGTTCTCAGGAAGGCGCGTCCAATGATATCGAAAGGACCCTATTTGAAACGTGTACCTCAAGACTGCAAACTTGGAACCAGCCGAGAAAGAGGAAGCTTGACTCTCAGTCCGTTTATGAAATTGATTTCTCAAAAAAAATTTATAGAAGAGAAGAAAGGAACAATGCTAAGCCTTTGAATGATCCAAGACGTCCATCTGAAAGGAACAATGATCCGAAAAATGTCAACAGAGAACTGCTTGATAAAATAAAAAGAGTGAAACCGAATTGTGGTTTCTTTTGTCTACTGTCAGATGAGAAACTTGACCAAAATAAAAATGACATCATTTCTCCAATTAAAGAGCACCCAGTCTCACTCACTGATATTTTTGACCGGGCAAAAATAATTAAGAGAAATCTCGTGGGTAGTGATCAAGAGAGACAGAACATTGCACTTGCCACAAAAGCTCAAAGTAACTGTCAGGCATGGTTTGAACACAGACGTGTTCGTATTACAGCCTCTCAGAGCAAACGAGCATTAATAAAGCCTTCTACTAGCCCAACAAAAGCAATGAAGGAAATCTTACACTATAACAATCAATACCAAAGAAATAAAATGAAACAGGGACTGAAAGATGAAAAGAAGATCATACTGGAGTATGAAAACAAACTGGATTGCAAAGTCAGTGAAACAGGTTTTGTTATATCTCAGAGTCATCCTTTCTTTGGGGCCTCTCCAGATGGGGAGGTAGATGGGGGACTAGTGGAGATGAAAAGAATCTTCACAGATGGCCTATCTCTAAAGGAGGCAGTGTGTAAACGTCGTATATGTAGAGACACTTGTCATGGATTGGTGATTAACAGGAATCATAAGTTCTATTACCAAGTCCAGCAGCTGATGCTTTGCACCAAATCATCCTGGACTGATCTGGTACTCTCTGACACTGTTAATTTAATTATTTTACATGTGAGGAAGGATAAGAAATTCCTCTCTGACATAGTCCCAAAACTGGAAAAGTTGTATGACAACCACATCTCTTTGGAACTAGCATACCCAAGAGTTTATTATGGACTTGCTAGATTGAGTAAACTAATTAACTGAAATGACTGCAATCACAATTTTATACTTTATTTCTTCTTTAGAAATACTGTAAATATACACAAATGACAAAATTTCAGTTGTGGGTATATGCTTATTTCTCCCTAATTAGAGAATGCGAAGGGTAGTTATGTAGAACATAATATAAGAAGGAACATTTTGAGCCACAACACATGTTGAGTTTTGTAGTATTTTTATAACAAATTCACTTGAACATTGCATGACTATACAGTCTGTTTTTATTTTCTAATAAATAACATGAGGGCAAATTTGAAAGAAAGATATTTGTTATGGCTAACCATCTACTAGTGGTGGCAGGAAGTTTGATAGCATTGCACAGACAAAAAATATCATATCAATTATACCACTCCTGCACAGTGTTATGGGAACAAATTCTAAAATGTGGTAGTTTTTTATTCTTTCCATGGCTCTTTCAACATGGACTCTTAGCGATGCAATCCTTCTTGTTTCCAGTAATTCACCTTCATTGAATTGGCCTGATTCATTCATGAATGGAGGAACATTTACTTTTACCCCTTTACATGCAAGCATCTCTTGAATATTAAAACCTCTATCAGCCATGATAACATCACCATACTGTAGTTTTTCTATAAGGCCTGACTTCTGTGTTAGTTCCTTGTCAGAAATGCTGCCACCATACAGGATTGAAACAAATGAAATCCCCCCTTTTGGTACAATACCAACCAAGGCTTTCAGGGTGTTGCTATTTTCGTATGAAGAAAATGTTACTTGTTGAGCCTCTGGGTTGTTTGGCTTTTCAATGTATATCTCTGTAGCATCAATTATTAGAGTAGTTGTTGAATACTTTTTGCAAAAACATTCAGGCAGGTGTAATTTAACAATCTCTTTGGAAGGAAATACATCAAGTTCTTTGAATCTGAAATAAATAAACTTGATCCAGGTATTAATAATTTGGGAAACCACACTCTGGGAAACTCCAAATCTGAGTGATAAGTCTTCTTCAAGCAACCCCACTTTCAAACGACAAAGTACCAGAAAAAAATCATTTTCGATATTCAAAGCCCTACTTGGCCCAGGTTTATATTTGTGCTTGATTTCTCTTAAATTTTCCGTGTTTTGGTAGTCCAAGTGATCAGCTGTCTCCCTCCCCAGAAATTCAAGAACCATTGAAAACACTTCATAGTTTTCAAATCCAGTGTAAAGTCTTAGTAATTTATCATTTTCCTTTACAGTTTCGATGCTGAAGGCTTTCTTCTCGATTAATAATTCCAGCTCCTTTCTGGCACTTCTTTCTTCTTCAAGTTGATTCTCCAGCTCTTGTATTTTTTTGTTCAGTTCGCGCTCCTTAGTTTGCCATTTCTCAAGTAAACATGAGATTTCCTCATTCTTTAACTGAAGTTGATGTTGCCAGTTTTCATCTACAATTTGAAATAAACCTTCACTTTCGAGATGTTCAGTTTCCATACCATCTGAAACAGATTTAAAATCGGTGTTTTCAATGTTTATCGGTTCGGGGGCCGAATGCTGCTGCGATTTCTCTATTTTTGTTTTCTTTGTGTTCAACGTTGCTCGATCAGCGGGCTCTTTCCTCTTTGGTTTTTCAACAGTAAATATAAACTTTGTCAGTACGGAATCTGGCTTCAAGCGAATTCTTTGTCCTCCCATTGGTTTTATGAAGCAATTAGCTTCAAAATGCTGACTACAGACATAAGAGTTTTTGTTTACCGGAGTGTTCTCTCGACGCAGTTTCACGAGCCATTGTGCCAGCCAATTCTTGTTTGAAAGCGGCAGCGAATGCCATGATAAGTCCTTGCATTCCGCTTTGGAACTTCGGTTTTGACCCCCAAAAGCTATGCAATGTTTCACCATGGATAAAGAAACTAAAAACTCGAGAAAATATTATGTAAATACCAAGCTACTACTAATTTCCCTCTCTGCTTCCTTGTACTTTAGAACGAGCTAGACCTGATAGCCTCGTTTTGGCGTAAGCTTATCCGGAGACCGCTGATTTCACGTGCTCAACTCTGATAAGAGCTATTAACATGACATAGGTCGGAAAAGAGCATCATGTCATCACTCTCTATTGCCCACAATTTTCTTCCGATGTATTCTATAAAATCTGGCTACAAATCCATTAATTTAGTAATGCTTACCTATTTTTTCGTCCTCTTTGCCTTGGCTCGCCCTTCTCCCGCTTTTCCACTCGCCTTTCCACCCGCTTTTCCATCCGCTTTTCCATCCGCTTTTCCATCCGCTTTTCCATCCGCTTTTCCATCCGCTTTTCTTTTTCTGCTTACAGTGATCTGTTTGGAAAGTAGCAGAGGGTAATGATTATAACCTGGTAATGTTCACATCATTTTTAAGAAAAACATTTGTTATTATCAAAGCCACGATTCTGTTATCTGCATCTCAGATGTATAATATGTGTCCGTAAGAGTCAAGACCAATATGGCACAGGTTACTATATAGATTAATTCGATATTTAAATTTGCCTTAACTTGTTATTTCATAGTATCTTTGTGCAGCCTGTGCTGGCTAAAATCCGGCAACATACTGTTGCACATAAGAGGTACCCTGGGTGTTTATTCTTTGTTATCGTCTAGCGGTTATAGTTACCTCGACTTCTCTTTCCTCTCTCGATACGAGTCTACTCAACTCCACAGAAGAAGTAGACTGCGCTGTGGCAACTTGGCAAATAGTATTTTCCAGGGCATCCAAGTCCCATTTTTTAGTCCTGTCTGGCTGCTGATGGCGATTCCTCTGTCTGGTTATGAATTCTCTCCACCATACCATTTCTGAGTCTTTCAATTTCATGGCGTATTTTGGGAGGTCCATTTCAAGCTTGTCAATGGACATGCCACCGAGAGTGTTCGGTTTGACAAGCTTAGGAACTCCTCTTGGTATGGTCGAGATGAGACTTATTCCGCCATCAGGCAGCCAGACAGGTGAGGTGGACCACTTCTTATAGAACAGCTTGGAGTTGCCGTTGTTGTTTTGAATTTTAAAAACGTGTTGGTGGACGTGGCCTGATATGCTGTTAATGGAGTTCTCCATCCACGCTTTGATCTCGAACAAAGATGATAATTCCTCCACTAACACAGGAGGGGTTTACGATACTTTAATCTGTTCCTTCAGTGCCTCTAAAGTATGGGCGTCGTTCTTGGCAAGTCTTCTTGCTACACATGAAAACATCTGATCGATGTTTTCATGTGTATGACCCACCACCAAGAAAGATATTTTGATCTGTCAAAAAGTAAAACGTGATTTAGTTTGTTAATCCCAGTTCTGAATGAATCATAGTCAAATTTCCTTACATAGTTACATGTTGTTGTCATTTCAATTACTGAGAGTAATATCGCTGGCATAAAATGAAACAAAATAGTAGGCCAACCAAAGTTAAAGAGACCAACGGTCAGTAAACCAGGACTTAAAGTAGTAACGAACGTCCTGACAAAAAGAGGAATATTTAATCCTCGTTGAACTTATTTTCAAAATTTGTATTGAATTAAAAATGATATTAGGCTGGGACTCATCTCTAGCTACGGCTGAAATTATTTATTGAGAGATAAGACAATTTTGCCTGATTTGAAAATTCACCTTCGCAAAAATTTTCCCCTCTACCAATAAACT